GACCTTTGCTTTGAGCAAGGAGAAAAGGAAGAGAGAATGTTGTTTTAGAAAATGAGTGGGTTGGGTTTAAAAGTTAGTAATCAAACATTCAAAATTTATTAAAACAAAAAGTATTGTTAGAGATGAAAAGTTCAAATGAGTAGCTAAAATAATTTTTTTTAACACTGGCCACTTGTTACTTGAATAAAAATTTAGAGCTTTTCTTGAGCATATCCAAGAGACTATAAAACAACTTTGATTAAATATTTTAGCAAAAAACCAACAAAACCTTGCTTCAAGAGACCCTTCACTCTATAAACTCATAGAGGAGAGAGAATCTAACATTTGCAAAACTTTATATCAATATTAAAGCTCTCCATCTATTCAATTCTTTTCCCTTCTATCAAAGTTCTTAATAAAGTAATAAAATAAAGTTATATTAAAATAGTGTTGCATATTTTTGCTGGAAGTGATGTATTAGAAAATTGTAGTAATGATCTCTCAGTTTTAACTCAATTTGAGCAATGGTCTCTCAAATAAAAATTCAGAATCATGGGTCTTTTAACTCATAAAAATGTGTTGCTATGGTCCTTTTCATTAACTTCGTCAAAATTCTATTACAATGAGTCATGTTGGAAGGATCATTATTATAATTAGGTTAAAGTTGAGGATCATTGCTTCAATTGGTTAAACTTAAGAGATCATTTCTCTAATCGAGTTAAAGTTGAGGGACCATACAATTGTTCTCATTTGGTTTTCTATATTTGTTCCTTGATTTAGCCTCACGTGTGTAGCACATGACTCATTTGGACGAAAGTTCTAGCAAAGTTGAGGAAAAAGCTGCACGTTTTGATGAGTTAATAGACCAAAATTTTTAGTTGATGAATCATTACTCCAATTAGATTAAAGTTGAAGAATCATTGTTACGATTTTGTTAGCCTGATGGGCGTATATTTAAACAAAAATAATTAACATGCAATCAGCCATCCTAACTTCCTTTGACGTATCATCGAATCGAACGTGTTTGTTTTGCATTTTTTTTCCCGATGACAAATTAAATTGTTTTCCAATCTTATATTACATCCGATAAGGTAACAGCATTTAGATAATTGATTCAACATCTCAAGCGTGGACATATATATCTTGCAATTGCAGACATCTGTAATGTAGTATGGGTGTGATATCTTTTTCACCTATAATGGACTTGGTCGGAAAGATTAAGATAAGTTAAACCCATTATTGATAAGCATGAAAGTGAAAGCAATTAATTAAGAACGTAGAGCCTAAGTCACAAATGTGTTATATTTTTCTTCTACGTACTTTTTACCTAGCCGTGGTCAAAAATTGTTACAACAACAACAAAACATTTTCCTACTAAGTGGGGTCGGCTATATGAATTCTAGATCGTCATTGCGTTCAGTTATGTGTCACTACATCGACCCTTCATCACTTAACACTATGCTCGGGCCACACAGCACGCCGCTTACGGGTGACAACCTAGCTTTAGCGCAATTTCGTTTAGGATTCATTATCATAAGGATTCGAGATAAAATAGGAGTGCCGGTTGTCAACTATCTGACACCCTCCCCCTCCTCCTTTATCCGGGCTCGGGACCGGCAATGTAAGATAAACTTACACATGTGGAGTTTGGTAAAAAATTGCTAACAACTAAATTATTATCTTGATATAACAATGCTGCTAGGATTAAGGGTTTCAAAGGATTGAGTGAGGGGATTTGTGAAATAAGATTAATTTATAGCGGAAATGTCATTGTGGCAGTATATCTCAAGTCATTTACGCAATCTTATGCATTTCGAGCCAACTATGCAGTCTCATGTGGAAAATTTTAAATGTATGACTTTTTATGATTGACTTGAAATATAGTTACAAGGATATTCTCATTGCATAGAAATCATTCTTAAGTGTGAGAGTAGTACATATATGGTATAAATAATTCATACGTAAAAGTATTGAAAATGGGGTACAAATACAATAAATAATAAGTAGCTCAAGGTAAAAACAATAAGGATTACATACAAACGGAAATAGAGTTATGAAACAATGAATAGAGTAAGGTCGCTACCAAACTCCACCTTTGCAATTTGTTTTTACAAAATAGATTAGGAATGCTTAGCAGATCAACATAAATTAATGGAGGCAATGCATTCACTGAGAAGTTAGAATTGCAGCCGCTCCAGGAGGCGTACTGGTCCTCCTTTTTTACCTTTATTTTTTCTTGTTGGGGTGGGGATGATCTATATATATACTTCATTCAAAAGCTTCTGTACTGTTGGAAAGGATCTAAATTGTCTTGCCAAGATTTATTGGCATCATTGCTTTGCTATCTTTACTCATCTATACTAACTCACCATAAATATTGCAGAACTAGATCATCATGCTTGAACAGTGGGAGTCATGGTGCTCGTAAATATCCGTTTGTACAGCTAACTAGCTATCGGTCTAGTGATATTTGTATTTTAATTACGTAAAGATGTCTCATTTTCGAAACTTTTAGCAGTGTTGATTGAAGTCCCAAATTCAAAACTCATCTCCCTCTGTTGGTTAAGGTTATGTAATTATGTTAAAAAAGAAGATATATTCAACTAAAGCATTGAATGTCGTTCTTATATATTAATTTTACAGATATGGATTAGGAAGCATTTAGATGGTAATAGTATATATAATTACTAAGACCTTTAAGGAAAGCACTTAAGTAAAGCCCACCCTATCTTTCAGTGGGTTGGGATTGGGTTAGACACTGTTCCTTCCATTGGTCTAGAAAAAGGAAAATTTTTAAAATCCATGGGGTAGGTTGAGATAGAACTTTCAATACAACGTCCAATCATGTTCGTCTACACACTTTGATACCATAATCTCTTTGGAAATAATTTTGGATTAAATTATCAAGTTCTGGATTATAAAAAGGCATCCCAAATGAAGCAACAATATTTACTTGAGAAAAGATAAATGAAAAAGAGCATTTTATAATGAATTGAACAACGACATTAGAGATGAAAGTTGAATTAAACCTCACAAATGAAACAATAATATTTCGTATCGAACTCGTTAACTGTGCAAATCAAACCTAAATTTTTTTACTTTTTTAATAGAGTGATATTCTACATCTAAAGGGGGGAGGACAATATGCTCTAAAGGGAGGGGAGCTGAGTTAGGCCGCACAATCAATCAATTTCCAACTAAATATCGAACTCAACACAAATATAATACATCATTATTATCCATGTGAGTTCAACTTAATACCTCTTATTTACATGTGACAAGAAACAATACTAGACCACAGTACTGGGGGAAAGAAAATGTTTGTTACATGTAAGTTCATCTTCCTTGTATGCATATCATAGTCTAACATATATGCAAATATCTCATCATATATAAGGAAAATCTTTCCGACTTATGCAAAGGCATCCGGATATACAAAAAGATAAATTGAGGCAATGCGGATCCATAAAAATTGTCGAGGGCAAGTAAAATTTTTTGGATGGAATAACATGCAAATTTTTTCATTGATGCATTTCATCGAGCACTTGGTAGGCCTGAGGTCATTATCCAAGCATACTGCATGCCTACCGATAGATACCAACAACTTCAGACCAAGCATATTGACTTATGTCAATAACTTTTAAGTAACCATATCAACAAATGTTGGCATATGTCGAATGAGCCTATTGACATCTACACATAGCAACACATGCAAAGGTATGAGACTAGCAGCTGCCATGCCCATAGAGGCGATTGGATGGCAACTTTAAAGAGCATCTCGGATTTTCAAAGGCAACGCCCAACTCTTTCATCTAGAGGGGCGTTGGAGGTGTGCAAAAGATGCAGTGACACAGGGTACCAAATTTTTTATGGGCCCCAAAATTTTTTATCCTCCTATATATTACATATCATCATCCTATGATTTTCTCTATATTACATTGATTAAGTGGTGCTTATACTTAATATATTAATTTTCTACTTTTTTCTACCAATAAAAAAAAAACTTGTGTATCACTTTCTTTTACTTTTCTTTATTAATAAAAGCTAACTTGTTTATTACTTTCTTCTACAAACACAAACATATTTTCGTATCTCTTTTTCAGTCATGTTCCATTTTTTTTATGAAAACCATAATTTCATGGGAATCCGAGATTATTCAATTATTAAAAATGAGATTTCAATTAAGTTTGAATATTACTTGTTTTGTGTATGAAAATATTGTCCAAAATTATATTTTAAATAAGGATGATCTTTTTATTAAATTCGGGACGACCTTCCTTTCGTCAATTATTTCTGACCCTAGGGGTCAGTTGACCACCCTGTCCCAAGATTAATCCATCCCTGAATAAAGGTCTCGCGCATGCATGTAAGGATTTTTACATGCATATCATAGTGCAACACACATTTAACACTGACTCATAAAATCACAAAAGAAAACGGCCATGCAACGGAAAATAATTAGTAAAACATATAAGAAATAAGAAGGTGTGTGATGTGTACATAAACTCAAGGGTTTGTTGGTTTGCTTTGGCAATTTAGCATGTGGACAAAACCAGAGCATGCTTTCTTGTCAGCCTTCATGTATAAATCACACAACCCATGCAACCATCCGCAGAAGAGGAACTAATCACATGAGTCATGACCCATTTTTCTGGCTTTTGTGAGAGAGGGAGAGGGAGGGAGGGAGGGAGGGAGGGAGAGGGAGCGAGTAGTTCCTTCTTCCACTGATATGCGACTGCGACTGCAACTAGGGTATTATTATTATCATCCTTATCAGACCCTAATTATACAAGCACTCACGATTCAAACGTAAACACAAGCAGACAAAACAAACAAAAGAAAGTGGAAATTATTAAAGAAAAAAAAAATGGGAAACTAAAGAGGGGGTATGTGGCAGTTAACCAGCACAATGAGTCAAATCGATGGCTACGCTAATCGTCCTTGTTTTTGCTCCATAGCTGTTAGGGGTCCCACCAAACCCACCCGTACCATTCTCCTCTCCCTTTCTTCTTTTCTCTATTTATTTTTCCTCAAATTTTCCTATCAACCAGAGAGCAAAGGCTTCTCCTTCCTCCTCACACTGAAAATTTTAGAGAGAGAGGAACCTCCCGTAGAAAATTTTAGAGAGAAAAATTAAGGATTCAATGAGATAGATGGATATGGTGGGACTTAGCATAGTATTGGAAGAAGGTCAAAAGGGGAGTGGAGTTAACAAAAAAATCCCACAAGTAATTAACAAAGCCACCATGGTTGTCATCAACAAGCCTTTTTCTTCTTCTTCTTCTTCTTCAAGCCCTTCACAAATAACCCACAAAAGTTTTAACTTTTCTTCTCACTCGTCCTCACCCTCCTTCTTTGGACAACCAAGTTTTCTCGACCAATGCTTTCTCTGCAAGCAGAAGCTCTTACCTGGCAAGGACATCTACATGTACAAGTAAGTCTCTCTCTCTCTCTCTCTCTCTCTCTCTCTCTCTCTCTCTCTCTCTCTGCGCTCACAAAACCCACCAAAAATAAATAAAAATCGCATTTTTATCACTAACCACCTCCGATTTCGCTGTTTTGTGAAAAGCCCAGTTTGTTTCTTATTTGCGTAATTGCATGGTGATTTTGGAGGAAAAAAAAGTTACAATCTTTGATTTGGGTTTTTTCGCTTGGTCTTGAAAATGCAGGGGGGACAGGGGATTTTGCAGCGTGGACTGCAGGTACAGGCAGATTTTCATGGACGAGGAAGAGATTGTTCGCAAGGAGAAGCAGAAGTACTGTTCGCCATCTTCTTCGTCTGCTTCCTCTGATCAGCGCAAAGGGGCCAGAAACCGAGCGGGTGGATTTGCCTACTGAGAAAGGGGAGAGAGAGGAGAGAGAGTTCTACCAGTTTGGAACCGAGAAGAATTGGTTTCTAGAGTTATATTTCCAGTTTTACCCTTAGTTTACTTTCAAAAGACGTTGATGTCCTCCGTCGTTTTTTCTTGCTTCCTGCTACGAGGCCAAAAGAATCCAACCTGTTCAAGCATTTATGTGTAATAGCCCACAGTTTTGCTTGCTCCCCCATTGTCTAGAACGGAAACCTTGGAGGACAGTCGTGGGATTTTGTGACAGTTGAAAGGGCATTAATGGCATTTCGTTGTTATGCTTAACCGTGGCATTCATGAATTTACTCATTTAATTTGGTTTTATATGTCCTTTGAGTTTTTAATTTTCTGTGTTGCTTGGTGCAATGGCGGTGCGGTGTAAAAGGGTAATGGAGTTTGTTCTATCCTGCGCATGTAGATTATATGGAGGATTTGTAGAGGGAATATGTCTAAATTACCCCCTGAGGGGACAATAGTATATAAATGGTGGGCAACAACATAGTGCAGAATTAGTACTTGGAGAACAATGTCCTGGTCCCGACAGCAAAAGAAGATTAATGCCACCAAGAAACACGAGATTTCAATAGATTTTCCTGAAACCCCTTGCAGTTTTCCTATTTACTGATGACGTCCTTCCAATGCTGCATTTTATCTCTCGAGTCGCTCTTGATATGATTGCAGACATTGAACACTATTTAGTGAGCGTTTTCCTTCTTAATCACCCTTTTTAATTACCTGAGTTTCCATTTCTTTACATTTGACAGTCTGATTGACAGGACAGGAAAGTAGGTCCGATCAATTTGCCATGTTTGAGCATTCCTTTTTCTTGCTTCTTTTGCAAATGGTAGTAAAATCTCGTCAAACATTTGCTCAAGCTCTGTGTCCAAACATATGGTACATAACATGAGGGTGGATGGTTTTTGGGGGTCATCTTTATTTGGTAATTGGTTTTGGGATCTTTGGTTTTTTTGGCAGTACATGGTTTTGGGGTCTTTGATTATGGGTAGTGATATCCATGCACCTATTTTTACTTCTCATAACACTCTTAGTTTTTTTTGTCGGATCGAATTAATTGAGAAAAATGTTAACAAAGATGTATGGGTAAAAAAGAGTGTGAATAGCACTACCCCTTGATTATTAGTACTGAAAAAGGAAAGCATAGTTTGGGGAAGGGAAGCCAAGGGAGAATTGGTAAATTTTTCATTAAGTTGGAAAGATATTCTATGCACGATTATATGTAACTATCTTATGACAATGAGAAAGATGGTGATCTTATCGTTCGTTGGTGTTTAAATCAAAGAAAAATTTTGCATGCGCCACTTATATTTAACTTTCTTTTTTCTTTTTTTTTTGGGTAAACGGGGAAATGCATTACCCTGGGCTAAGAATCCAAACATACCAGGAGAGCCTACCATGAGGCAAGCAAAAATCAAAGCAAAAACAAATACGGACAACAGAGGGAGTTACAAGAACGACACCATAGCCACACTATGATGTCGCCCCCTCTACTGCCCCAAACCCATCACAGAGGATAGGGTGATCCATCACTTTGAAGCACAAAAACTAACGAATATGGGGGTCTATTGACTCAGGAATGGTCACACATCTCCGCACACAAAGTAAAAAGAGAGTTGATTCTCGAACATTCATGGGTATCAACATTGCATTAGGGTAAGAATTTTGTAAGCACCAAAACTTTCCTCTAACAATATGCGAAAGCAAATTCAATTGTTATCTTATTTTGTCGCATTAGGAAATATTTTGTACTCAACGACATTTCTCTGACAACGCAAAATGAAATCTAATTGTTGTCGTTTAATGGTGTTGCATTAGAGAAATATTTTGTACTCAACGACATTTCTCTGACAATGCAAAATGAAATCTAATTGTTGTCGTTTAATGGTGTTGCATTAGAGAAATATTTTGTACTCAACGACATTTCTCTGACAATGCAAAATGAAATCTAATTGTTGTCGTTTAATGGTGTTGCATTAGAGAAATATTTTGTGCGTGTCGATTTTATTTAACTGTTATCTTATTTTGTCGCGTTAGGGAAGATTTTATACTCGACGACTTTTCTCTAACAACGCAAAATGAAATCTAATCATTGTCGTGTATCGATGTCGCATTAGTGAAAGATTTTGGTTATATTTAACTGTTCTCCTCCACCACTATGCGTAAGCAAAGTTAATTGTTATCTTATTTTGTCGTATTAGGGAAGATTTTGTACTCAACGACAAAATGAAATCTTATTGTTGTCATTTGTCAATGTCGCATTAGAGAAAGATTTTGTGAGTGTCGGTTATATTTAAATGTTCTCCTTCGACAATATGCGTAAGCAAAGTAATCACTATCTTATTTTGTCGCATTAGGGAAAATTTTGTACTCGACGACTTTTCTCTAACAATGCAAACTGAAGTCTAATTGTTGTTGTTTATTGATGTCACATTAGAGAAAAATTTTGTGTTCATCGGTTGTATTTAACTGTTCTCTGCCGACAATATGCGTAAGGAAAGTTAAATGTTATCTTATTTTATCACATTAGGGAAGATTTTGTACTTGCCTACTTTCCTTTGACAACGCAAAATGAAATTTAATTGTTCTCTCTTCTTATCAATGTCGTATTGAGGACATATTTGTGCATGTCGGTTATATCTAACTTTTCTTTGACAGCGCAAAAAGTAAAATTTACTGTTACCTTATCAATGTTGCATTAGGGAAGATTTTGTACTCGCGACATTTTTCTGGCAATGCAAAATAATAAAATTGAATTGTAATTGTTGATATTATATAGCATTAGGGAAAGATTTTGTACGCATCGGTTATATGAAATTTTTCTCAAACAATACACAGAAGATAATTGTTACGGTTTAATAGTCTCCTTGGAGAAAGGTTATGCTTAAGCCAATTATATTTTTCCTCACAATGCATGTGGTACATACGTACTACTACTAATGCAATCGACGTATACAATAATTTGTCCTGCATTCTGCAAAGCACTAGGTGAGAGTCGGGTAATTTTATATGGTGTGTGTAGGTGAGAAGCGTGCATGCATGATTGGAAGTTGAAACATCACGTCTAGCAAATTTAAATTGTCATTAGGAACTAGTTCCATAAGGAAAAGACACAAAAAGGTAAAGGGTTTTCAGGTGTGAAACAATCATTTGGCAAAAATGATGGGTACATATGAATATATAGATAATATTTCTTTTAAACTTCTACCCTTTTTGTTCTTTTCTTTTTTTTTTTTTTTTTTTTTTGTGAATTACCATTGGTTTCAAAGCCTACAAAAATATCATTGAAAATGTAGCTTTTTTCCCCTCTCCATAATCCCTCCCTAGAGATTGGAGAACGACACCGTAACGTATAGTTTTGCTTCATGTAGAAACTACTATGCATTTTTATAAGATTAAAGAGATCGTTGATAATCATTTCGTTTTTACTTTTTAGTTTTGATTTTTTAATGATTTTGAACATTTGTTTGGTAAAGTTTTGAAAAATAAAAAGAGTATCTCCTCTTAATTCTGCACATTCTTTTTGCTTTGTCTCGTATGGTATGGACAGGAATCCATGATCGTTGGATTATTGACTAAAGATCCAACTGCCACGGATCCCCGTCCATGCTATTGGCCGGTCCATTCTAGAATGAAAAGGCCTGCATTTTATGCAAAGTATTCCGTTTCCATGGGCAAATGGGGAATCAGGATGCCCTAAATAAGTTCCAATTTCTCACTTCACCACGCAAAGAAAGATGAAAGAGCTTAAAGCCAAGTTAGAGCCACAATTAAATTGAAAAACTGAAACTCATACCTCACAGCCCGTAGAAGTAGTATTAGATATACAAGTTAAGTGCAAGAATTTTAAGCAAGCGGTTGACCAGCTAGCAGATTCAATTTAATACATACAAGTGCAACTTATGGCATCACAACTTCAGGCTCGTCGTCATTCTTTTCGTCACCATCTTTGTCATCATCACAAGCGTTCAACCAGACTTAAATAGCAAAACTGCTTTCTGATCCAAGTAGAAGTAGACAAAGTGGTTTGTTTCATGAGTCACATACGAACCTGCACGAAGGAAAAACGTGAAAATATATTCGTGAATACTTCTTGTTTGATGGAATGAATTATTTGTAGTTCCAGATGTTATACAACAATTTCAAGATTAGATTGATCAAGGAAAAGAAAAAATATTCCGAAAATCCAAAATATCCAAACACAACTTCAATATATTGCATTCTGAATGGACCGAGAAAATTTAGCACCCTTAGTAGGCCTGGTTTCATCTAAGCTAGATGCCATATCAAAGATATCAAAGATGTCAAACACAATCCTTTGCCTGCTATGTTGGTTATTTGCATACATCTGTCGAGAATATAATGAAAAGAGCTGATTGCAGACTCCCAGCTAGTTTAGACCCAACCAAATATGGCCTCGTTTGGTTAGTAGGATTGGATTGTAATGGTTAACTATCCAGGTTAAAGGCAAATTGAAGGTAGAAGTGAATGATTTTTCATTTAAAGGGGAACAGCAGAGGATTAGACATGAAGACAACTCATCCCTAATCCTACCATTTTGGAGTGGGTTTAGGTTTCCTTCGTGAGTTAATCCATCTTCCACCCTCTAGTCGGTCATAATTTTTTTCATTTTTCCCCTCAACATGCCTTGAGATTAGGGAGTTATCCATTCCAATCCAATCACACGTACCAAGCAAGCCCAATGAGTGCAAACGCTCTGAACTCTGGAGCAACAATGCCAGTGCTTGTGAGGTTCAAAATAAACCAAAAGGGTGCCAGTGGAAGACACATAGGAGACTCACAAGCCAATTATGAACTGTTCAACCTAGGTGGCCTCATGTTTTTACTAAAGAAAATGTTGCTCTGATTATCCAAGGCAATCCCACCAACTGTTTCCTTCAGTTAGAAATGGCGCAAACTAATACTCATACGAAACAGAAAATATAGGAACTTTGTTAAAGCCGGGGAGTGATATTCTATTTTACACCAACACCAAAACGATTGGATGTGAAAAATGCAACAGTGGAAAACATGTAACAATGAAAAAGAACCAAAATATCTGTTGCATATACAGAAGTGGCACAACAACATAACAGACTTATAAGGACATTCACTTTTAGAGCAAGTAAATCAACGCCTCAACGGGCTGCCTCTTGCGTGGTAGTACATCACTAACACAACCTTTTCAAATGGATAGGCTATCACTAAACTTTTTCAGCTCAATCTATGGTCAGTGGATTTCTTAAACATCTCACCTAAATTTTTTCTAG